CTGAGGCAGGAGGATCGCTTGAGCCTAGGAGTTTGAGGTTGCTGTGAGCTAGCTAGGCTGATGCCACGGCACTCTAACCCGGGCAACAGAGTGAGACTCTGTCTCAAAAAAACAAAAAACAAAACAAAACAAAAACAATGAAAAAACCCACATCTTTAAAAAAAAAAAAATGTAATCACCTAAAGGTCTCTATAAAACTTCTCAAGTTTAGTCTCAACAATATACCCATTTGCAATGTACACACATCACACTATAGCTACACTTTGAGGATAACCTAAAGGATTAGAAGAAGCCACATAAGGAAAACAAAAGATAATAACTCTACTCTTCATTAAGTTATGAATAATGTTCCATATTTGCATAGAACAAAAACTAGATGACATTTTTAAAAACTCCAACACCAAACAGTAAGTCAGGCAAGAAATATAAATCACCAACCACTCCTGTAGTCTTATTAGTAACTACAAAGTAAAACAAGAAAATAACTTACCTCTACAGCAAAGATTCCTTTGTCACGCCCATATAATTTCATCTCTTCCGGAAAATGTTGAAAAGCATTTACATAAGGAATATGGTCCTCTTCGACAAATCTGTATTTTAACAAGAAAAAGTTTCAATCAGTGCTATGTACTGACTTAGCACAGTAAATGTTTTCAGAAAAAAAGTCTCTTAAAAAGATAAGAATCAGTTAAGTGTATTCTACCTTCCATATATTTTTAACAATGATAAATTTGAACATATCTATTATTCTCCATACCCATGCATGGGACTATTTAACCAATTATCGAACGATTCTCTTAAGTTCTTGACTAAACAGATTAAATATGTCTAAGAAGTGGCTATCTTATCTGTCAGTTCATCACCAGGCTTTCCAATATGGCATTCCTTCTATCCCTATCTTCTCTCACATGACAGGCTCCTATTCGTCTTGTAAATCACCTCTTCAGGGAAGCCTTCCTTGATCCCTGTCTTCCACAACAGCACACCTACTTCCCTTGTCTACCCTTCTGGTTCCAGCACCCAGCACGGTGCATGGTAGATGCTTATTGCTGGAAGAACCATCAATCGGAGGAACCTTGCCTGTTTGCTCACTATCCCATCCCAATGTCTGGTACACATAATACAATATGAGATCAAATATTTTGAGTCAATTATTGAGTTTGGAGAAAATAGCACATACATATAAATGAATATATTTATAATTTATTCATTCATTCTAGAGAAATTTATTGAGTACTATATTCCCAGCACTATTCTAGACTACAGGGATATAGCAGTAAACAAAACAGAAAAACATTCTTGTTCCTGTGAAGTTTACATTCCAGTGAGAAGAGAAAAGACAACAAAACAAATAAATGAAATCTATAGTATGTTAGGTAGGGGAAATGTTAAGGAGAAAAATAAGTAGGGAAGGAGACTACAGAATGAGGAATAGGGGTCTCGCAACCATGTCATATATATCCATATATCTACATATAAGATTTTAAAAGTAAGACAATTGTTAAGGAAAATAAGATGACAGGAACAAGTACACAAAATGCACTGTCTTAAAATCTTTGCTGTTGCTAGAGCTGGGCTGATATTTGACTCTCAGATTTCTATAGTAGTTAAAGGACAAAATTGATTTGACTTTAATTTCAAGTTAAAAATGTGATTTCTTTAATTTTTAGCCCA